AGCAATTTAAATTCAGAAAATTCTGGACCGTCCCAAACTGACCGCAACTCAAGTCTTACAATTTCTATGTGGTTGATCTTCCTAGCCTACAGGTGCTGGTACTGTAGTTTCAATGGTGACACTATTTTTTTCAAAGAAGTTACATTTCTTAAGGACTAAAATGCTATTTTAAATATACAATTTTAGCATCACTAGCGATTGGTTTCCTTTCATAGAAACATTGGTAAATTGGTTGCTGTGCCATTCTTCCCCAGACTAAAAGCCTTGGCGATCATGTTGACATTTTTGGTTTAAAATACCTCAGCGACTTTGCTGTGACATTAAATGTAGATGTTCCCAATGCTCCCCAGAGAACACATACTGTTCGACTGTGTTCATCCCCTAAATTTTCACTCGGTTTCACAAGAAGGACACAGGGTGTCTGAGGCTGGCATACTGATTGGAACATAAAAAGACTAAAGTTTGACACTCAAGTCCTCCAAGATACAAGGTCCTCTTTATGCCATCGTATCCCACAACAGACGAATTTAACAGAAATGTAGTTTCTCTCTCTCTAACCATGTTCTGTTGTCATTTTGCCGTTTTTAAGTTCTGTATCTGACAAGCCCTTTACATTTTCTCCTTAATTTTTGGAGTAGCTTCTTGTCCTGTCACAGGAAGTAAATGAGCCAAGCCTCTTTTCCTCCATCTCCCTCATTTTATATCCTTTCAGACCCAAGGGCCAGTTTGAGTAATAGTAATTGACACATTGATCTAATAGGGCCATCATAATAGGCCTGTTACTGAGCTGGGCAATGGTGCTCGGCGTCACCTTAACATGTGCAAGGACTGACATCCCGCCATGATCCATAATGATAATTGTGATTTAGCCTTGCTTTCAACCTACGCCCCAGTGTCCCCGGCATCAGGAAATCTTATTACATCTGACCCCACATTGCCTCCATTAGAACTAGGTCATTTGTTAAAATACTGCAAAAGCAAAACAATTGAACCCTGTGCCATTTTGATTCTATAACAGTGGGTTATCATTGTCCCTTTGAATCAATTCCAGGGGCCCATTTTTCGGGATAGAGCTTTGAATTGGATTGATCGGACTCTGATAATGCTGAAATCAATGATGCAGCCGCCTGAAAGTAAATTATCGTTGAGCGAAATTTTCGGATTAATCTTAATGCCAGTATTCTTGATTGGTATTGGTCGCTGTACTTGCAGGGCGAGCACCAGTGAAATGTTGACGGAGACATTAACTGTCAGGATGGAAAAATGAAACGGGGATTCTTAGAAACTTTTTCCACGGCACGTCTTCTGTCTTCCTAAAGGGGCAGGAGCCACTGGAGGGACGAACACACTTGGATTAGCTGGGTTAGCATCCAGGCAGAAAAACACAGTCCACACTTAGTCTTGAGACAGTGTTTAAAATCTAGGCTTAGGTTGTGACCCAACTTCTCACTTGGCGCCTTTGCTGTTTAGCTTGGGAAATATACAAAAGAACGTTAGTATGTACCTGTGTGTATAAATGTTTGTGCGTAAGCGTGTGTGGATGTGTAACACATAATGTTCCCTTAGAGTTTCACTCTTGTATCAGTCATCAAGATAGTTGCTGGGTATTGTTGCAGCAGTTATTTCATTTTGCATCTCTGGGTGTGTGTTCCTCCCTTTGTTTGTGTTAAGGAAAAAAAAACGTGCATGTCAGATTTTAGTGCCTCTGATCTTACCTAACACATGTGCATTTGCGAGAGTGTGCGTGCATGTGTGTGTTAGCAGTGAGTGGTGAAGTCGTGTTTGTGTCTGTGCTGTCCAAGCTGATTTTTAAACAGATGTTGACAGAGTGTTCCACAGGATTGTGTTCCTAAAACACCACTTATGAAATAGGAAAACTTTACTTGTTCCATATTTGGGAAATTCTGTTACTGCTACTATCTGCTTCTTATTGCTTCTGCTACTTTTACAGCTATTACTAGTTGTAAAGGATTAAGTGGATTAAGTGAAGCACCGTGGATACTTTCTGGGTGCACTGTATAACATAAAAAGAAGCTAAAGGCTAGACAAGTTTGTGAAAACATCATCTACATTTTTAATCTCTGCAGCACTCCAGCTTGTCATAATGAACAAGTTGTTGAGATTCTTCCATCTTTAACACATCTTCAACAAATATCAGTCTGCAGGATTTTTCAAGTTGAAATGATGGCCCAGTAGTCATGAGACATGTGAAACACTGCACAAATACAGCGAGAGTGTACATAAGAACCATGGAATCCAGGGTGGAAGAAATGAGAGAAGGCTGAAGAGAAGGCTGTTTGGGGTAAAGACAAGTTGGGTGCTCTATCACCAGGTCCATTAAGCACTTCCTGCATTGGAAAACGTGGTATGGATTCAGAGTGCCAAAAGCATTGTGCCAAAAATGCGTCAGCCTTGTTTACTTAACTAAGACTAGAGTGATGAAGGTGTTGCTGCAGAAGAATCTAACAAAAAAATGCTGGATCAGTTCACACATAATAGACTGTTTGCTCAGATTTTGCCTTGATGCGTCTGCTCTGCCGTTCGGTAACAAGGTACGTTGGTCAATCAAATAAAGGGTGGGCATATTCCAAGGGCCTGTGCTTACAGAGACACATTTGATTATACTTGCATTTGATTATTGAATCTTTTTATTGTAACACACCAACATCACTGCAGTTTCTGGGCACCAGTGAAAGATCACAGCAAGGCTCTGAACTATTAACATTATATTTTCTACATCTATTCTAGTCTTGTGAACATTGTTTCCTTACTTTCCATCCAACAAAAAGGATGTTAGGCTCACCTGCAGTTGAACTTGGTGTTAGGATGCTAACATCTAAACTGATGTGGTGGTTGTAGTGAACATTAGGATGTTAGCATTGCTAGTCATTGCGAACATGTTGCATGATTATTGGCTGTAGATTGTGTTGTTGTGATGCATCAATGCTCTCATGTGAGTAAAGGGTTATAACAAATTGAAAGCCCTCGCTGGCTGTGACCCACTGATTCTCATAAACAGGCACTTTAGAGGTATCACACTCGATCCTGTTCCTTATCTGTAAATGGCTTTTTTGGGGTCTCCTGATAATGTCATGTATGTTTTCCATGGTTTGCCTTTGGTATACAGTATTACGCAGTGGGTTTATTTTGTGCAATAGTTTTGAATCAGAGTGACAGACAAAGAAGAAAAGCAATAGTGAAGACTGGCACGGCAGACGGACCTTGACGCAGGAGTCGGTCAGAATAGGGTGTGCTTCTGGAATATTCAACGTGGCTGAGGTCATCTGTCTCTTGTAATGGATGAAGGTCTTTCCATAATGATGTCTTCATTTGAATAATGTCCAGATTTCCCTCGGTGGGAGTTGCTGTAACTTGGTAGTAGATGTCTGCTGTTGAAGCCACTTCCTAATGGTGTCTTCCACTGGCTCTACTCATCAGTAAAGGGATGTTATCGATCATGTCGACTCTCCTTCTTCACCTAACTTTCACAATGTTGATATAATCAGTGCTAGTGTGCAGCTGTTTTTGTGCTTCTCTGTAACATGTTTTTAATTGTTTTGGTTTTTTTACTCCATTCAACAGAATTTGAAGTTTTATATCACACCGTTTCCCTTTATTCTGCCATGAAAGTCATTGTTATATTTTAGAATCACTGCCTTCCATTTGTCCAAAAAGTATCCATGCTGAGACTGATGAGGTATGTATCTACACTTAGTATGCACAAGCAGACTAAATGGACTGTTGAAAGCACTTCGTCCTATGGCTCAAAAAACAAAACTAACACTACAGTTCACCCCTGAATCCTCAGCCAACACGGCACCACAGGCCCTGCCAAGGTTGACAGAGAATGGAAGAGCAGTAGAGGCGTTCCTCGCAGAGACAGAGAGGGGGCACAAGGGACGGGGGGTAGTGGAGGGGAGTCTCTTGATTAAGATTTATGTCTAAATTTTCCTGTTCTAGCAGCCGTTGCCTGCTGTTGGATAAGCTCCCTTACACACCCCTCTTCTTTGCTGTGTTGATAGAAGGGCTTCTAGTAAATGTGTTTCATGACAAAGCATTTCCCCTTTTGCCCTTCATGTTACTCCCCTTTACTCTGGATTCCCAGAAGGTGCAGGGCAGTGGGACGTCGGGAAATCAAATAAATTTTTGTGCTTCAAGTTTGTTTTCATACATTAATGCACGTAATCACAACGATTGTGTGATTGGTCTGTGAGCACTCCCAAAACACGCGTGACCTAAAGCTGACAACAGTGCCCGAATGCCTCCTGAGGAGCTCTGCTAACACGCTGCTCATGCTAAGCCTTCTGTGTAGTAATCCTGCAGCTTTGGATTATATAAGCCACCTATATTGGTTACTTTGAATCATGCATACGTTGCTGGTCTCCCAAAAGTAGATCTGTTTCGACAAGTTCAGTGATAAAGCCTTAAATGAAAAACTGACCACCAAAATCACAAAGTTAAAGTAGAAAACAGGACTTTTCATTCCTGCAGATGTAATTCTGTTAATTACCTGAAAACTCGTGTCTGTTGGAAACCTGTTAAACTGCACACACGCTGGAAGTGACTTCAGGCGAAATAACTATGGGCCATGAGAAGTGGGTGAGACCCATGATTGATGAGCGGATGATGAGACTACCAGTGAGAGAGAAGATTGTTGATTGACATATGACCTCGCTAGAGGGTCACCTAGGCAACCGTGATGAAGGGATGAATGGGACTGAAAGGTGAAAGAAAAGAAACCTACAGTTTTTGAAAAAGCAGTAACTTTCATTGCACAAAGAATATCAGGTGTGTTTTGCTTTTTTTAAGCATGTTATTAGTGTGCTTTACTTTCCACAATTTACAGTTTAGTTACAAATGGAAAAAGTGAAGCGTTTGGGTGAAAGTCTGAAGTCCCAGTGTTTTATCAGTGGTTACTAGATTATCAGTTCATAAAGTTTTCAAACACTTTAAAATTAATGGTGTTTAAAAATGTTGCCCTTTTTTTTTCTTTTCTCCAGGACAAGCCCCCCCTACTGCTGCGCTGACCTGTATTCGCTAAGGACGGGGGAAATGGTTAAATCAATTCAGTTCAAGACGCCTATCTATGACCTCCACTGCAACAAACAGTGAGTTTGGCTAAACAGAATAAGTAAATGCGTTTAAAAAGACTTTTGTCATGTAGTCACATGAATGTTTTTTCCCTTCTCACAGTATCCTTGTTGTGAGCCTGCAAGAGAAGATTGCAGCATTTGACAGCTGCACATTCACCAAGAAGTTCTTTGTTACAAGTAAGAATATTAAACACATGAGTCCTATAATGCTTATTTACTGCTCCAGGGGTAATTGTTCATATCGAACATGGCAAAAGTTTTAAATAATGAAGTTGGAAAAGAGTGGTTGTTCCGTTCTCTGGGTGCTCTGGTTTCTACTGCTGTGTATCAACTCGGCTCTAGCTGTGAGAACAGAGCTCACCTGGGATTGAGGTGAGCCGAGCGGCTGCACTAACCCAACATGAGGCAAATAAGTGTTGCTTTTTTCGACTGTGAATCATGCAAAGCTACTCTCTGAGAACGACAAGAAATGACAAACATTAAAATGCATAGAATACGTCTTCTTTCAATTCTCTCAGCCTGCTACATAATCTGGCAAAAAAAGAGAGGGAGGTTTTAATAGGTTACAGAAATCAATTGCTTTTCACATCAAAAACAAGAATGATTGTTGTCACATGTGGCCTGTCATTATTTTATTGTAGAAATATGTATTTATCAAACACGGGGCCAAACCCCAGCCCTGTACTTTGTGTAGTAGCACAAACAAACAGTGCCAGTCACGTAAAATTCTTTCTTCAAACTTAATCTTTCCAAACATGATCAGCGAGTCTGTCATGCCCGCATCACACAACCCAAACAAATACAAGGCACATCATTGATTATAATACAAGCCACCAAGACCTGCTGGATTGGAATCCTCTTAAGCATCGCATTGTGACTAAACTGCTTTTATCAAGACAAGATGGTGAGACCCTTCATTTGAAGCTCAGCACAGGAAAACTGTTTACGACACAGCTCTCGCATCCTCCCGGCTGTACCTGCCGTCTCTGCTCAGGGAGTCTGTGAAAGAAATGCCAGACTGTATTACAAGGCCATTGCTGTCTACTTAAGTCATTGACTGGAGTAAACTGACCTTACTGGCTGGCTTTAATGTGTCTCCTCTTTGTCTGCCTGCCTTCCCTATCAGCGTCTGGGCAGCAGGAAACCAAACATATTCAATAGTTATTAATCGTTTCTGAATGCAGGGGCCTCCTCTTCATAACATCGTTTGGTCTGTTTTGGCCATAAAAGCAGTAAACAAAGGGTCCTGTGATGTGGGGAGATCTGCTTTGGATGAGCAATTCTACCTCTGCATGTGCTCTTCTTCTCCAGGGATGTGATGGTGGGCATGTCATGTTTTCATGAGCACTTAGTGTTTGTCCCTTGTTTATGTTCTTGCTTTGCATCGAGTGGTATGTGTGCTCCTAGCTGGTGCTTGTTCAGCCCCAGAAACTTTCTTTCCCCTCTGCTCAGTCCTGTTTGCCTTTTGAATGGGACGACTCACAATCGTAGTCCTTAATGTGTTTTTACAAAAAGTGCGTGTGGAAACGTTTGAGGATTCATAAACAAGACGACGACGACTTTTCATATGCCTTTGAAACCAAAAGTTTTCCCTTTCTGATAAAATGTGACTGGAAGCAAGTTTTCGAACTGTGTCCCTCAACGTTAGTCTTTAATTGACTTACTGTTTATCAGTCCTGGAAATTTTAAGTAAAACACACTTGGTCATGTGCTGCTGCCCTGACCTTCACATGTATGTCTTAATAATACTTTTGAGTTCATTGTTTCGTAAATGTTTCCGAGGCATTCAGGCCCAGCCTCAAACGTGATGCTGTCCACACACTGCTCATGAAAGTGTTTGGTGCTGCTATGCAGTCGCAGACGTCTTTTCAAACACAAAGGTTGTCTTTTACAACCTGTGTTTGCATGCCACAGCAAAATTGGCGAGTACTGGTTTTCTTCATGTGTTCTTCTGTTAAAATGATTCCTGTTCTTTTTTTGTCACTTTCAGGAAATTCACATTTTTTTGCTTGTAGCAGGTGAAGTCGCTTTACATTTTGAGAGTAGAGCTTCTGAATTTCCTCTATCGACAGTTTGTATTCAGTGTTCATTAGTTTGTGTTTCTATCTCTGTCACATTCAGCTTTTTCTTCTTCATCATGTGTTTTTTTTTATTTTTATAATTTATTTCCCCGAATCTGGGATTTTTTTTTTACTTGGGTTGAGCTCTTTTGAAATTGCTTGTGCAAAATGTTTACTTTATGTGGGCACGTTAGAGATAATACTTAGATTTAGAGATGGATGTTTGTAGAAGCTTTTCAGCTAATTAGATTTCAGATGAGTCCTTTATTAATTTGAATCATAATAGTGGGATGAAGCAGCCAGCAGTCAAACATTTAGTGTAAAGCCAAAACGATGCAACAGCCATTCAAATATTTTACCTTAAAACCTGTATAAAAAATCCAGGCATGTGCATTATTGACCTCACGCACACTGACCAGGTGTGCTCGTGCACTTTTGGATTGCAAGAAAGTGACTTTTCACTTTCTTGTGAAAAGAGGAGTTTCAATTTTATTTAAACAACACCTGTTCAAAAGCATTTTTTATATTGTAATGTTAAATCTTTGCGGGATTTTTCAAATGTTGTTGTTTTTTTATGCAACAAATAGTTTAGACTGAGCATCTTGTGGCTCACAGAAAGGATTTTGCTGGCTTGGGTGAAAACCTGGCCTGAATGTTCAGGAAGGAAAAAGAACCTTCTAAAAACTGGGAGTATCGGAGAAGAAAGATCAGCCGATCCATCCATCAAGTCTTTTCCCTCTTCTGGTTTAGTCACATGCTCTCCACCCAGGATGTCAGACACTTTCTGTCTTGCTTGGCCTTGGAGGGGCAAAAAAACCTTCTCTGGCATCACCAGCAACCCTTGTGACTCACCTAAAACTCCCACCGACCCTCCTATCGGCTCCTTCCCCAACACAGTACACTAAAGCCTCCACCTCATCTGCTCCCTGAGCAATAAATTATTGTCAGCAAGCCATTTGCCCCACACCTCTGTGCACTTACATCAGCTAAGTGTGTTTGCATGTTTGTGCACGTGTGAGGCAAACACCTACCTTTTTAAAAGATCATCACTGGATCAGCATTTTGCTGCTTTGTGTGTTTGCCATACTGGGAAGGAGAGACTGTCACTGTCTGTGTCTGCTTACATTTAAAGATATTTATGATGAAATCAATAATTTCTTCATTCTGTTTACGGGCACATGGAGGCCTGGTTTTGGTTGATTCTGTCTTGAAGAGCAAACTCCTGTCAGATATGGTATTGGTTAAAACACGTTCCACTTGTGCCAGTGTTTACTTCTACATCGATAAAAAGAGAAAAATATGCGATTTTAGCGTTTGTGAAGAGTTTTATTCGTCATTCAGCACTGGTTACTATTTTAATCTGTGATGACAACACATGTGTGTCATCCTGTTTGTGCGTTTGTATATATCCCCATAAGGGTTATTGTGTTGGTCAATCACCAGAGGAGCCATCTTCAATTTTATTGGGTACCAGTCTCCATTAGGTCATCCTGGGTGTACACACACACACACACACACACACACACACACACACACACACACACACACACACACACACACACACACATATAGACATGTCAGCCTCATCAGACTCCCATTTATTTTCCAAAACAAGAAACTCCCCACAAACACACGGTTTAAGATGGTTTCAGACACTCTCCAGGGAGGACTTCCTGTTTTATGGCAGACTTTCAGTCATGAGGTTACTTACCAAAGTAGCTTAAATAAGAGATTGTCTCAAAAAGGTATAGACTGTCTTAATAATGTCACTTGACCACACTTGTATTGATTAATTTGTGCAAAATCTTCTTACAAGTTGTAAAATTGGACTCAATTCTTCAATCAACATAATCCACACCACTCTAAATATTCTGTTTGACTGTAAGCCTGCTCTTATTGACAGTGAGATGAATCGTAAGTCTTTAAGTGGCAGGGACTGAACTGAAGCACCAGCTGTCTCCATTATTAGAAATTTATTAGTTAAAAAGGTAAATTGACCTGAAAAAAGCAGTAAAAAAGCATGAGTTGGTTTGTCTGCAATCCTGTTTATTTCATATCTGTTTCTGTATGTCTCTGTCCTCACTGTCTTATGGCCGTCATTGTGTCTTTCCAGGCTGCTATCCCTGCCCCGGCCCCAGCCTCAATCCAATAGCTCTGGGAAGCCGTTGGCTAGCCTATGCTGAGAACAAGGTAGTCTGCACATACACACATATTCATCCAGTGCAGAAGTGCCTTATCAGAGAAGCGACATATTTACAATCCAAAAAATGCATTTTATCTATTTTCTGCCTCTTTAATCTGTCTGGATAAACAACTCATTCCAAGAAGAGTCCACTAGAGATGATAACATTTTGAAAATCAGCAGATGTACTGGAGTTTTCTGTTTAATGGGATTGTTAAGTATTTACAAAAACCAGAATGTTCTATTGTGCATCCTGTAATACTTTTAATGTGAAGTAGTGTTTTGGTGCTGGCCCACTCAAGTAATTGACAGATGGGGCTGCTGTTTGTGCCTACGGATTTTCAGAAATGACCAAATCTAGTTTTTCAAGAGTAATACTGGGACGGAGCTATTCCAGTGATATTGTATATGAAATTAATCAGAGCAGGCTGTTTGGTCGTGCAGCCTGTCTTTGACGACAAAACCAATTTCCTCTAAAGAGTGAAGAGGGCAGCCTTTTAAATGCCTGCATCTGGGTTAATTCTCCCAAATTTACCTCTTCGTTCATCTCCCTCGGACGTCCGCTATACGTCTTGTGTTTATTAGTAAATCTACCTTTTTTCCAGTTGATAAGATGTCACCAGTCTCGTGGAGGAGCCTGTGGTGACAATGCACAGTCTTATACCGCCACAGTGATCAACGCTGCCAAAGTAAGTGATGTACAAACACACATTTAACTGTTTTTCTCTACATGTGTTATCGTTCTCTCTCATCGAGATTCTTAGGTTTTCTTCTTCTTCCTCAAAAGTAAATAAATAAAAAATCCTAATAAATAACATCCTAAGTGGCATTCTCTAAAGCACTGTATTCAGGAGAAGTACGCCGAATGTGTCACAGCTTTATTTATATATAGGCGTGAACATAAAAGAAATGCACAGGAGAACATGTCTGGCTATTATTTTTTTAAAGTGTATTTCAGATAAAAAACATTACATTATCTGCTCTCAAAGTCCATACACGCTCAGATTGGCATTCATGAGCTAAAATTTATGGTTCTAGATAGCGAATCAACTGAGACGTTGCTCTGGATTAATTATTAGATAGATGTGAGTTCTTATGAACATGTAACACTACATTCAAAACTATACTCACGTTCTCACAATATGGCTGTAATCAGTCTGAACGTCCTACGGTAAGCTTGACACTCAGATAAAACGGCACAGAAGATGGTATTTCCAGCTCTGCCGGCACCATCTGTAAATGTGCTGACATTGGATCCACCTGTGCCGCCTGGCCGACTGTGGCTAAGCTTATGAGACACTTCATCAACCTGCTGATCTCCTGCTTCCCACTATAATCTGTTTCTCTTCATTGGTCTTGTTTCAGTCAGCATCATGGGGAAGTGGCTCTAAGATGGCTCACTAACAGCCAGCAGCGCTCTCTTTGATACCAGGTGAAATAAAATCCTGGGCCAATAAAGCAACTTGCTAACACGTGCAGACGAACTACCTCCTCATATGGTTCTAGTCTGTTTCTCCACTTGGTCACAGAAGAAGGGCTAATTGATTCCAAAGAGCACGTGGATCTCACAGCTAGTGCGAAGATGACTCATTAGTGGGGTAACAAGGCTATACATCAAAAAGACAACTGTCTTTCTAACAGATTAGCAGCATGGTGATGGGTTGACAATTGCAGGGGGTATTGATATGCAGACAGGCAGTCTGCTTGCCCGCCCTCTCCTCGTTTAGGACCATATATCTCAATATGGATGACAAGGTATCTCCCTTTGGCTTGTGGCGCGACACGCTGGCTCTTAGTGCTGACATCCAGAGACATGGGAACAGAAAAGGAGGAGGGCGGGGGCAGCATTAAAGTATAATGGCTTTTGTTTATAAAAAAGACAGAAAAGAGAGAGAAGGCAGTGGCGCTGACCGACTGGCTGTTCTGAATTTTCTGTCTTACAGGGAATTTATGTAGCACAAAAGTCCTGTTGCCTGTCATTCCTGGGTGTATAATTAAGAAAGACCGTTCACATAAAGATGAGGCTGTATCGTGTTTAGATAGTAACATCAGCTCTGCGTGCGTAAGTGTTGTGAGCCCTGAGGCATGATCTTCCTCCAAACCCCCCCTGCGTGCTAGGAAATCAATAACTCCTGTTTGGACTACTAAGAACTCCACAACTGCAGTGATTAGAAAACACATTAGTGTTGATCAATTAGGAGCCAAACGCCTCACTTAATAATTGATGGCTTTTCTTGCATTTTACACACTCACACACACCCCAGTGCATGCACGTAGCATTCACTGTTAGTGTGTCTGGTCAAGTGGCAAAGAGAGACAGCGGGTGATCCCCAGACCCAACATATGCAAGGCGCCACACTGTATTGACAGGGCCGCCTAGTCTGAATGCCTGATTAGGCTCTCCGGGGCCCCTTTGGTGCTTACACACACACAAACACACAGTCACGCACACTGGACTCCATTAGAGTAAGACAGTGTAGTAGGTGAGATAGACTCCACTTAAGCAGCACTATCCATTTCCCTCAATCGAGCCACAGAGGTGTGTTTGAGGCAGACACCCTGGCTGGGCCTTAAGCGGACACAGAGGAGCCTCCCGCGCACGCACGTGTCTTCTATGGCTACAGTCAAGTCATCAGCACTGCGAGCCATCAGCCGGCATCAAGTGAACATGCTGTATACATGCACCCATGCACAGAAGCACGTATGCGCACTGCAACCCAAACCAAAGATATCACATAGATGTATAATATATTGCTTGGGAATATATAACATCAGGTGTGTATTATATTTTTTTCCTTTCTTCCTCAGACTTTAAAAACAGGTCTGACGATGGTCGGTAAAGTTGTGACCCAGCTAGCAGGCACCATACCGGCAAGCACTCCAGACGAGGAGGGCACATCTCACAGTGCAAGCCGTCGCAGCCCACACAACCCCGGTGTGGTCACCATTATTGACACACACAGTGTTGGAGAAGGACAGGTCAGTTCAGTTGTTTGCTGCTTGAAATGATTTTAAAATACTGCATTTTATTAGTATTAACTGTGATGCTTTTTTTAGTTGGTATTGACCTCAAATCGAAGGAGATATCTCATTGCGGCAGTTGCATTTAAACTACAAGCCTTGCGTGTCTTGTAGTTTAATTAAACACTCGTGCGGAGAGAGTCGAGTGGATGCGGAGTGTAAAGGTAAACTCTTATACTGCTTTGACATTCAATCATTTGCTCATCTGTAGTTGGGTTTCTATGGTAAATGGTTGGTACCCCTTTAAACCGGTGCTTCACAAACCAATCAGTGATACCATCTTTTATATACAGTCTATGATGCTTTGCCATTGTGTTCATCCGAGGAATTGAGTTGCAGGATAATGTCCCCTATTAATTTGCTGAAGGGTTTCCAGTACACAAAGACAAAACTGACCATTACAGTCTTACAACATCCATTAAAGTGAGCACCTCCTGCATTCACTGAGGAATGGCATCTTAAAAAAAGAAAATGGGGCCATGCACATTATTACTGTGGTAAGCAATAAACAATGCAACACTAGCAACAGCAGAATTCTTAATATGTCTTGTTTTCCGTCTGTGGAATAAATGAGCAGGCAAGGAATTCAAGCTAAAGACTCCTTCAGTAGATCACAGAGTACAAACATTATATCAATAATATGCTGTTGGCCTCAACCAATCAAACACCTCTGCTATGACTTACTGGGCAAAAAGATTAAATGGAAGAACGATGTTCATCTCTGCAGTTTCACACACTGTTGCAGTTCATGCCAAGCAGCTGTGGAGCGAAAAACACCCTGTTAAAACATTTATGTTGGTTTTCCTCTCATTTGTCACCAGCTTGTATATTAGGTTGGTCACAAGTTAACAACACTAGATTCAGTGGATGGACCAACATAAAGTCATTCCTGCTTCGTTTTGTCTTACTGTTTGCTGTTTGCAAAGTATTCTTTAAATAAGTTTCATTGTGATTTTATATATATATATATATATATGTATGTATGTATGTATGTATGTATGTATGTATGTATGTATGTATATATATATATATATATATGTATGTATGTATGTATGTATGTATGTATGTATGTATGTATGTATATATATATATATATATATATATATAAAACTGGGTTCACTGTTACCACCTGACAGCCTTGTTTAAGTGACTTTTATAGAAAGTTACTGCTTAGACACACACAGCAAATGGGCTTTTTGCTTCCTTGGTCTCATCATGTATGTCCCAGGTAAATAAAACTTTGCCTCTGTGGCTTGGCAAGAAGCAGGCTTGGTGGCTTGGACTCACTCAGTCTCTTTTACCTGGCACGACTAACCTAAAGGTGTGAGTTAGATATGCTGCATATTTTAACAACTGAGCTTTTAGCCAGAGTTCTGTCTGTTTTGGCCGTGCTGGTGACAGAGACACTTTGTAAACATGCAGCTGCAACCTGACATGAAGCTCGAGGCTGACTCAATGCACCACATGCTAAATCAGGTCCTGGATTTAAGACTGTAGGAAATTCATTTTCCGGACGTATTTTTTGGAGTAATTTTTTTTAATATATATATAATTTTTACACTTTGTAGAGGAGATGCTTGGAGAGGCTGTTGCTGTTTATTTTATTGTAACAAGAAAGTTGTTGTTATTCACTTTAGCTGTCAGTGGTTTACAATTTTGTGGCGTAATGCAGCAAAAAGGCATTATTAGTGTTACAGATGGTCTTCAGGTTATTGTGCCCTGTTTAGAGAAGTAATACATTAATATTTTTGGGGATATTTTTTTAATCCCATTGTAGCTTTGATGCATTTGTTAAGGCAATTAAAATTAAGCTAAATTAATAAATTTAGTAAGTTAAAAAATTATACATTAAATATAAATATTAAGTAATAAAAATGCACAACAAACCAAATAACATAATTTTAAATTGCTAAAATAAATTTTTATTGTTCACTGATATTTCAAAGCATGAATTATGGTTGATGTAACACCGAGCACGACTCTACTCAACCTGTAAAGTTGTATACAATGATGTATTTGCAATAATAAATAAATAAATAGAAAAGTATATTGGTAAATGTTTGGTGCATGTAATTATTTTGCAGTGCAATTTGAAAACAACTTCCAACCAACAACAAAGGTCACCAGGAGTTATCATAATAAACAGTCTAATAAAAATGAAAGGAAGCCGCTAAAAAATCAGAACGTGTCCCCCCAAAAATAGTGTCATTCCATAAATGACTAAGGTAAGTTTGCATCTATTATCCTGACTCTGGGTCTGACTAGCTTAGGTGTGTGTTATAGTAAGAATGAAAATATGCTGCACTAACCTCGTTTACAGATTGACCAGTTGGCTTCCTCTTAATTGCAAAAGAAATGCTAAAAGCTTTTATCCCCGAATTTTCCTCAGCCTCTCCAAACTGTGATTAATCACACTGCAGGAGCTGTCACATTTTTAATGAGGTGTGTTTTCGTACGTAGTACAGTTTGTCAGTGATGTTATCACCACACACATTCTGCCTTCTCCTTTCCTCGGCGACTGTAACCGCCCTGTAACCAGCCCGTAGTCTTATAAGTTGGATCTAAGCCTTCAGAAGTGGGTCTGCACTCTGTCACCAGGCGACACACTGTAACCATACACTGGCCGTAAACACTGATGAGGCCAGGCAAGGAGGGAGGGGTGCACTCAGAGTGTAGGAGAAATGGAGGTTGAAGGGAATAGTGGGGTGGGGACAGTCGAGAGTGTATTAAGACGGAGGTTGGAGGTGTAAATTCTGGAGAGATGAGAGAAGTCAGGAATATGATTGAGGTGAGTTCCTGTGTCGTTGTGGGGATCCAAGACATTCCCATCGCTTCCAGTTGGATGAGGTTGGAGCTACATTGTATCACTGCTCCTTATTTGGAACAGCAGTCTCAACACACACACACACACACACACACACACACACACACACACACACACACACACACACACACACACACACACACTCCCCTGTGTAACAGGGGCTCGGTTCTCTGGAGGACACTCTTGTTTCAAAGGGCTCCAGCAGGATTCCCTAACAGAACAACATTGTCTGCTTGCACTGTAATAAAAGTGATCTGCTTCATGTCACCAGCCTCTTTCTGTTCATGCTGTTCTCCCGCCTTTTCCCCTTTTCCCCCCCTGGATCCTTAAGATCTTGCTTGGAGTGTGAGACAAAATCCTTTTAGTTTTTAGAGGCTATCTTGTTTGGACTAGCTTAGATTTTAAATGTTTGGCCAGCTTTCCTGACATCCGTAGTGCAACACCGGGGCCACATTTAACTCTTTTAAACAAGAGTGTGTGTTCTCAAACACCGGTACTTCTGCACAAAGTGGCCTCATGTCTGGGCTTATGTCTAATCTCTCTGTGTGACTAAAGGAGTTTTCTGCCAGCTCCTGGTCTCAGCACAGCCTGTGTTAGATTTGTCCCAGTCTTGACAGCAGACTTTGTATGGAGATTTAGGAGCAGCCTCTAGTTGTACAAAATAACTTACAATTTCATTTTTGTTGGCAAGTTGCACAAGGGGAAAGCCAGTTCTGCATTTGATGGCAGTTTGTGCCTGTTTACGGGAAGACCCTGTGTCATGGGGTATTGTCAAAGCCACATGTGAAAAGCCACATCATTGCCAAAGTAAATTTGTCCATATTCTTGTCTCTGTTGTTAGGCCATATCCTGTCCACACTGGTCTCAGTACAGCATCTTTGTAAAGCGCTAGCACTAATGAAATACAGCTCCAATTATGATGATTCATATTTTCTTTGACCAGAAGAAGTGGGTTTTTCAACAAAGTGCTTACTTGTCTTATTTCAGGTAACATGCTTATTATATTCTGTCCACAAGAGGGCAATGGCACACTCGGAAAGGAGTTAAACTTCCAGCTGTTTCACAGCAGGGTGATGTCAAAAAAACAGTGCTTAGTGTGGTGACAATATCACACCAAACCAAAATGTGGAGAGAAATCCTTGAGCAGGGGAAAGTCCCTCTCTGGGTTTAATGTTCTCATTGTTAGAAAATGATTTGGATTTTGTTTGTGTGTGTGTTCATACGATCCAGGTCTTGGTGAGTGAGGACTCGGACGGTGAAGGAGTGGTGGCTCACTTCCCAGCTCACGACAAACCTATATCCTGCATGCAATTCAACCCCAGTGGTAATGCACACACGCACACGCTCGTTTTCATGTCTTCGTGAGGACATCTCATTGACATAATGCTTTCCGTAGCCGCTTACCCTAACCATCAAAAATGAATGCCTAACCCTGACCCTCAGCCTAAACCTAACCATAACCCAATTGTAACCCTGACACTAAAACCACATTTTGACCCTCAAAAATGCCTTCAAACTCGTGGGGACGTCCCCGCAGGTATAGCAGCGTGCCAATTTTCTGTCCTCACAAAGATATGTAAACATGTGCACACACACACACTCGTAACTGTTGAAGAAGAAGACTGAACACTCAGTGACCAGAACACTAAAAACAGCACAGCAGTTACACGTCCATTCAAGTGTACGGTAACATATTGTTTGTTTGGCTCACATGTGGCGGCTTCGTCTTGTTTCTTTGGTTGGGCTGGATGTCACCATCCAAGCCAAATTCCAAGTGTGTGTATTCCACTTAAACAAGTGTTTGGCCTGTGTTTCCCCAGCCTCAACAAAGGAAGCACATGTAGATCAGACATTGTATCCCATACGGTAAATGTGTTAGTTACAGTGGGGCAAAAAAGTATTTAGTCAGCCACCGATTGTGCAAGTTCCCCCACCTAAAATGATGACAGAGGTCAATAATTTGCACCAGAGGTACACTTCAACTGTGAGAGACAGAATGTGAAAAAAAAA